CAGTAAAAGGGAGGTTTTAGGTTTAAAAAAGCGGTCTCCAGAGAATGGTGATGGGGGGGGGGGGGAAGAAATGACACTCAAGACAGAAAGCTGAAAAAGTATAAACATACATATTTATATATTTTAAAAAATGCAAATAACCCAACTAACAGTGTCTAAATGAAGGGTTAATTGGTAATTGTATATGGAATGAAAATATAGGAAATTGCACTAACAAGACATAATACTATAATAGACTGACACAGAATACTCTATTCAATGTCATATTCCTTCCTTGCCTCCATCATTACATTTTACCTATTTGTCTCGAGTTTGTACGGTCTTTTGAGACAAGAACTATGTCGTAGTATGTCTACACAAAACACCTCATTTATTTTGGATCCTGCAGTGATATACAACTGACTGTTCAGGTATTTTGTCAGATATGGAAAGGAAGATTTCTGCACACACAGTACACAACAGCAGTCAACAACACCACGTAATAGCTCAAAAGTACTAACCTCATCTCTGTGCTTCTGACAAAAGACCAAGAACTGAGACACTGCATCTCCCTTTCTGCTTCGTGGAGTGGATGCTGCAGTTTTCTTTCTAGTGACAGGGGAGCCTATTCCTCTTTTGGATTCTGCCTGTTCAGATGCCTTTTGGGGTGTAGTATTCTTAGTCCCCGACTCATTACTTTCTTGAGTATTATTAGCTGCAGGCAGTTTTGATGTCCTTCTCCTTCTCTTGTTGGGAATGCCAGATTCCTTCACTGATTTCAGACTTTGAGTGGTTTCTTCATTTGCGTAAGACAACTCATCTATCTCCTCTAAAGGTTCCACAGCAATACCAACTTCTTTTGCCACTCGAGGATTAAGATGAGGTCTATCTCTAACATAGAGAAAGGTGTACTTGGCCTTCCGCTCTTCCACTGACATGCCTAGTGCTTCACTTGCTTGCTTTATGCCCATCTCCCACTGGGGTCGCAGTTTCCCTGAAACAGGCTTTAACATCTGCAAGAAGAGATGCTGATTTGAGAAGCTTGCTTACTTTCGATTCCAAAATACTAACATTAATTGAAAACAAGTATACATTATCTCTCTATTCTAAATATTTAAGTGAGTTATGCTTGAATGGTTCTGTTATAAAAAAGAATAAAGGAATAAATAGAATAAAGGAAACTAAGATGTTCCCTCGTAGAAACTAACTGGGCAGCAGCAGCTAGGGGGCTGAGCCTGCTCACTGTTCTGCTCCCTGTGGATTGCTACAGATTTTACTTTTGGTTTCCCCCATGTACAGCAGAACCTGCTCTTATCACATTTCTTGCACCTAAATGAACATCCCAATTTCCAGCAGCTGGTTTTTTAAGGAAAAAAATGTGTGTGGTATATGGGAAATACAGTAATTTTTTGCCATGGATGAATCAATTGCTTAAATTGTGGGCACCAAAATTAACAAGTAATGTCTAAGCAATTACATTCTCTATGCTAACAAGCAGGCAAATCTTTCTAGATTATCCCTTTGATAGTGTGTAGCAAATAACAGTTCTATAATAGCTAAAATTGCAAACAAGTTCATATTGGGAAGACTCTTACCTTTATTTTCTCTGCTTTTGTGAGGGCTTGTTTCGCACTTTCCTGGCATAATTGTTCAAATTGGTCTTTTCCTTTGAATGGCACAAGGCTTTTCTCAAATATCCAAGCTCGTTCTGGGGCATCTCCAAAGAACTGTACGTGATATTGACGAAAGCTCTTTTTCTGTCCTGAAAATTAAAAATAAATGTTGTGAGTTATGGCTTCGGTTTTAGTATATTAACACACTCACATTTCTGTAAATTACTGTACTTGGAACTCTAACAAATACAGTTTGGCTAATTTTTCTTCTGTAAATCTGCTTAATGAGTTGGAATTTTTCACTGACCTAACCTTTGAAATTTTGAGCAAAAGGAATAAATAGTTCCCCTTTTCATCCAAACAGGAACCTAGTTCCTACTAGTTCCTAGGTAACCCAGTCTCTAAAAAATTATCATTCTAATGAGCATTTATTCTGGAAGAGGATTTTATACTCAAAAGACCGGACTATGACTAAGAAAAATCTACATGCTATTTCCAGCTTTGCTCAAGACTCCTTGCGTAATTTTGGACAAAGCAATTAGCTTTAAAATTAAGATAGGACTCAAGGTTCTGTTAATGCACTTTAAAACCAAATGGTGGAAATAAACAGCGCTTTTACCGGCTTTCGAATCAAATACAGAGATAACTTAGACACTACGTTCTCAATAAGGATGTTAAAATGTTTATTCTGCTACAAATCATCTGGCTATTTTGATTAATTTTAGAGGATCATGTATGTAGGGACTGGAAAGCCTCTTAATTTCCTGTCACCCAAAATAAATATTTGGAAACTAAAAGTAGAAATATGTTCAAATAAAGAAAAAAATTGCCTGTTGGACTGAACAGCAAGTTTCTCCATTAAAAAATGTAAAACTGAAGTTAATATCACAATCATCTGTCAACAGTGTAAGTGTATGCTAACTTTCAAACACATTAAAAGTCAAATTAAAAAGCTGCATTAGAAAACTAATTCAAAGTCAAGATTACATTCTCAAAGCTTAGGTATCATATATACTTCACTTCAACTCTGAAATTTCCTGGATTTTGGATATGATAATATTCTTGAAAAGAAATGCATACACCAACCATTGACAAGTACCTCCTACTCCACCACCTTCATTTTAACCAAACTTGTTGGCACACTAGTCAAGTCTCTTATTTTAAAGGTACAGAAAAGACTTCCAGTGAAATATCCTCCACCCCTACTCCCCAAATCACTGGTGGTTTTCTCCTCTAAGCTCTGGTGAAAGGAAGAGGGAATGCTTTAAGTCTATGGATAAGAAATACCAAAGTTATTGAGGAACCTTAAATGGAAAAAGGGAGAGGGAAATGCAGCATACCTGAGATATCTAGCAAACATCCTCCACCATCCTATCCCAACAATTTAAGATTTTAATGAGCTTGTATTGATGCCTTCCACTCTTAACTCAGGTTAAGGTTTGGCATAAACTCAAAAGAAATTCTGAAATTCCCTGTACTCCTGACAAGGCCACAGCATCCAACTTGTAGGTCTCCCCAAGGTGTGAGAATCTGGTGGTAGGGGCGTGGTAGCATCATTAATTGCAGCTCCACTGCTGCCAAATTTCCAGACCCATGGGGAATCCTGCAGGCCAGATGACATGCCTTACATGCAGGGTCGGGCCAACATGTGGCTGGATCTGGCTATACATGGTGTTGGGTCTGGCACTGCATCAGGCCCATGGACTGCCCTCACACGGCTCTTTCAGCCCACGGGGCCAGAAGGCTGTGTGAGCACCCTTGCCTTATTCTGATGGCCATCACTTCTGTTGTTAGTTTACATTTTGTCTTCACTTCAGTTTTGACAGGAAAAATGGTTATTTATTTTACAAGAAACTATGGTTCTTCAGCACAATATTATTGTGGAAACAGCTGCACATTCACACATACCTCACCTACAACTACAGTCTTTTGAACAGCAACTGTCCATTAGTGACACACACACACTCTTTTGCCTCATATTCTTGTATAGTTAAAGGATAAAATGGTTGCAACCTTCTCCCGCTTACTTTGCAAATGAAAGCCTACAATAGCTGAGGAGTACAAAAAGTAGAAATGAAAAAGCACATCATGGGGTCCACCCTGATTACAACATCTCAATGCTTCATGGTTGCTGTAGGTTAAGTAAGGGTTGTTTCTTTTACTCATTATTTCCAACCATCCCTTTCCTCCTTCCACACCAGGGATGCTTTTTCCCTATTAATTTTATAACAGATGTCCCTTGTTTTATCTAGAAGGGGATCATACTGGGGGTGTCTGTCAAGAGGTGAAATTAAGAGTTTCAGTTACATGAACTGAACAGGAATTCTAGTACTGCTTTCCCAAAATTGGTCTCTGATTTGGTGGCTAAATCCAAGATGAAACGCTGACAAAGACTAGCATCACATTTTACATGACCACCTTACATTTCTGACAAGCATATTTATGAATCAGGCAGTGTTTTCAGTTCTCTAAACTTAATGATGGAGTGAGCCGTGATATTCAGTAGGAGAGCTAATGAAGAAAACAAGATGCACTGGACTGCCACACACTGTTAAACAGATGAGACAGACTGGCATTTATAATGGCCAGAGAAAGAGGGAGAGACATGCAGGAACTGGGTGGCTTGATTTGATTTGAACTGTTTGGTTCTTCCAATGGAATAAGATCTGGAAATATCCAGAGTGTGCAAACTCTTCTCTCAGGGTGCAGAGTATCAGTCGTAGGAGAAACCACAGAGATTAATGTAGATAAATCCCAAGATTACCTTGGAATGAATTTTGGGTGAGGTTTTAGCCCTATTATATTAATAGAAATGCTGTGCAAGAAGGATCAATTACAAGCGTTTGCAATGCAGTTACTCTTCTGGCCGGCACAACAGCAGCAGGAAGACCACTCAGTAAAAAAATAATCACGTTCAGTTAGGAAGATCATCACGATGCTCTTGACCGTTTCATTTGATTTTGGGAATCCTGAGAATTGGGAGAGCTGGACAAAAGCATAAAGGAGAGGCCTGGGACACACATCCACAGCTGGATTACTGGTCAGCCAATGATCCAGTCAGAAGTAATATTCTGCCTCCTGAGATGGGCTGCTACCACTTTTAAGGCACTTAAGTTAAAAGAATTCAAAATGCCAGTAACTTATACTGAAGATCAGAACCCACCACAAATCCTAGAGCATCTATACACATGCTCCAGGGTCCCCAGGTCTAGGACAGGATTAAAACGCACATTATTCCTCAGGATAAAAGAAATAGCAGAAATCTAAGCATCTTCTCTTGTATTCTGTCTTCTAAACAAAAAAATGTGTGCCTGTTCATCAACAAGTTAAAAAATGACAGCTTAGACTGTACCATGAGGTGTAACAGTTGATACAAAAAAACCCACATCTAGATAAAACAAGGGAACTCTATTACAGACTGTGGGGGGAGAGGGGGGGCAAAGCAGTGGAATCATCCTGGAGAGCAAGGAAGAAAGGTATAGGTGGAAGCAATGACTAAAAATAATTAGTGCAGATCTTGGGCAAAGACTTCAATGCCTAATATTAGCAGAAAAAGGTAAGTGGTGTCCTAAAGGCAACGCAGGCAAGTGACTCTTTATGCTCCTGTGAAAACTGCTGCTTCTAAGAGGGGGCAGGTTTGTTGAAGAAGTATAAAATAGGTGTCTTCTGGAATACCTAGGTCCTTTCTAGAGTACTCTGGCTATTGATGCGAGGCAAGACACATACCTCTGCTAATACTTATTTAGCTTAATATGAGGTCCTGGTATACAGCATGGCTCTTGAGCCTTTGAGGGGGATGGGGCACTTCACTTAAAACACTCCAATTCCTCAAAGTATAGGTCCCCTATAGGGGTTTGTAACACGCATGTATGCCAGACACCTAAAAGCCATGAGGCTCACCTCATTACAACTGGCACAGCCATTTACCTTTAGGTCAGTCTAATGAATCCATGGCAGAGAAATCAAGCTCTTCTGCTAACTTTTGTAGGTTTTCCTTGCTATCCTGCAGGAGTTGGCAGGTAAGGAGTGATCCTTTCCCAGATAAGAAAGTTGTATTTTACTAACAGGACCTGATACTACAGCTCTCTCTAGCAAACGCATGGATATAATACTCTTTGCATGTGTCCCCTGAGCTTAGAATTTCCATGAGCTGCCAACACAATGGGCCCTGATTTGGAACACAGAAGTGTTTGGCAAGGACAAATGCAAAGTCCTGCACTTGGGATGGAATAACTGCATGTACAAATACAGACTGGGAAACAACTGCATACTGCAAAGAAAAACCTGGGGATTACGGTAGACCAGTGGGGGCCAACCTTTTTGCTAGGCATGCCACAAATTAACCCAGCTTCCTCCTTGACTGCCACTCTGAACCCCAAATTCCTGCTTTGCTTTCTACTCCCTACCCAGAGCAGGGAGCACAATCTCCTCCTCTGCTTTCTATTCCCTTCCCTATCTGTTGCTGTCCTTCCTGTCCCTGATCTGCTGCGTGTCTCACATAAAGGTCGCCCATGCCACTTGGGCCACAGGCTGGCCACCCCTACAGCGCAGACCACAAGCTGAATGAGCCAACAATGTGTTCTTGTTGCAAAAATGCCAGCAGCACACTGGGTTGTACTAACAGGAGTGTCACCTGCAAACCAAGGGAAGCAATTCTTCTGCTCTATTCAGAACTGGTGAGGCCTCATCTGGAGTACTGTGTCCAGTTTTGGGCCCCACACTTCAAGAAGTATGTGGACAGACTGGAAAGAATCCTGTGCAGAGCAATGCAAATGATTGGAGGTCTAAGAAGCATGGCTTGCTAAGACAGCCTGAAAGAGCAATTTAGCTATTTAGTCTGGAGAAAGGAAGGCTGGGGGGATGGAAAGCGGGTGGTGGTAACAGTCTTTGAATACCTGAATCGTGATTTAAAGACAGAATGGAGATGAGCCTCTTTCTGTGGCTGTAGGGGACAGGACAAAGAAATGGTCTCAAGCTGCAGCACGGGAAAGTTAGGCTGGAGATTAACTGTTCAGACTATGAGGGTGTTCAAGCACCAGAACAGGCAGCCTAGAGAAACTGTGGACTCTCGGCCCCTGGACATTTTCAAAAGCAGACTGGACACACAGCAGGGATGGTTCTGTCCTGAGCAAGTAATTGGACTAAATGA